AAGCTTCCCGGTCCGACCGAGTCGGTCTCCTACGCCCTTGAGTATGGCAAGGTAATGCCTGGGGAGGAGAAGAGGGTTTCCAGGCTGGTTGATGGAGGGCCTGGGGGGGGGTGTGTCAGCGAGGGGACGGGGTGATAAAACCAGCGGGGTGGTCCCCAAGCTGGGTTTCGCAGCCAGTGCTGATGCCACGGGCGGCCTGGCACGGCACAAGCTTCAGGAGAGGCGCTGAGCTTCACCGCGCCCCGGCACGAGGGCTCCTTCCCCGAGCCACGGACACGTGGCTTGTGTCAGTGAGCCACGCTGTGATTTTTGTGGGAGGTGATAAGACTTGGTGCTAAATTGCTTTTTTTTGGCTTGAATTCAGGGGCATGAACGTGGAGTGTGTTTCCCACTCTACCAGTAAGTGCCATAAGTAAATGCCTTTATTGCATGGCTTCGAAACGGAGCGCTCACCTCGTAACACCGCAGCCTCTCTGATTAAAGAGCAGAGGTGTTAGCCTAATAACACGCTACCGCTGGCAACTAACGGCAGCCAGGGACCGGCAGCTGAAACACCAAACCTAGGCGTTATTTGTGAGGATTGTTTGGGCCAACCCCTGCATGGGACGAGTTCATCCGACGCAGGACGTGCCTGTGACGGTTTGGATCTGGCTTGGCGGCGCTCTCAAGGCAGAGTGCTCCAGCCCAGCGCGTTACAGGAGATTTTCCCCACTGGAGAACTGCTTCGGGATAAGGTTTCACCACGGGACCATAACTCACTTGATGAATGTTCAGGATCTTGACGTGCCAGAGGGTTGGCCCAGCAATCACCTAACCCGCTGTGTAGTTCTGTGGCGCTCCCCTGTAGCTGGAGTATGTGTTTCGGGGGTTTTAGTTGCTGAGTGTTAAGGTTGATCTTGCTGAAGACTCGTCTGCATTCCACCATGTGTTAGCAGTTTGTGAAGTGTTTCCCCGTAAGGCGAGACTAAAATGAAGCTACTCTTTCCACCCTGCAGGCTGAACTTGAAATCCAGAGCGACGCCGTGGAACCGGGACAAAAAGTAGTTATTGTAGACGACTTGCTTGCAACTGGAGGTGAGAGGAGCAGATGGTGTTAGAGCACGCGTAACCCCCGTACGCGCGCGCATTGGTGACAGCAGGAGCGGCCGCGGGGTTTGAAGCTTGCCTCGGCCCTGCTCCTCGAGTGACGATGTTTCTGCTCAACCTCTTGTGTCGTGCAGGTACCATGTGGGCGGCCTGCGAGCTGATGAAGAGGCTGAGGGCCGAAGTCCTGGAGTGCCTGGTGATCATAGAGTTAAAACTCCTGAAAGGGTCGGAAAAGCTCAGGTCCATCCCTTTCTACTCCCTGCTGCAGTATGACTGAGGAGGAGCCGGGAGAAGGGAATGGGAATGCACGCCCTGAGCCGTGCACAAGTTCGGGCTTTATTCAGTGACTCTTTATTGATGTCATGAGGGGGTGGGCAGGGGGGGAAACCTACAACTTTGATCCTGGCCAGATGCTATACAATTGTAAGTCCTATTTATTTTTCCAAGCCACAGATTAAGGTGTGTTGAGTGTAAGGATCCTTTTTGGAGTTCATCCTTTTGGGAGGAAGGAACAGCCTGATTGTTTTGGGGGATGGAGACCAAAATGCAGCTTCACCGAGTCTTTTTTTTTTTTTTTTTTTAGGAGACCAAAGTGAAAATACTGCTGCTGAGGCAGGAGAGGTCTGATAGCGTAGGGGGCCCAGCATTCCCTTTCGGTTGAGCCGTGCCTGGGCAGCCTCCTAGGAATGTGTTAGCAGTTTGCCAGAGGAACACAGAAGATGGGCAAAAAGTGATTAGTTGTCTAAGGGATAAACCCCTCTGTATTTGACCTCAGAGGATGGTCTGGTTGCTCTCTGCTGTCGCTCACACCAGAATAGGTTGCTCTTAAATTAAGGTAGTGCTTGTCAAGGAGAATTTAGTGCCTGCCCAGCCCCGGGTCCTGAAATCGGGAGGCAGCCACTGCCAAGGCAATGGAGGTTGCTGGCGTAGATGAGCTCCAACACCGTGTCAGCTTGCAGCTTGGCTCGTGGTCTCCTTCCCTTGAGACCGTGGGAAGCCGTCTGCCTTCCCTTGGTCCAGGGTAGTTCTCAGCAGTGGATTTTGCAAAACTAGGGGCGATCTACATCATGAGAAGTAGCTCACAGCTGGGCCGCAGGCGGCGAGGAAGGGGGCCGTGCGTGTGCTCGGGGTTGTTCGCCTGCCTTCTGTCCAGCAGCAGCGGCGCCTACCAAAGCCTGCAGCTCCAGCCAGGGCTGGCAGCTTTTGTTTAGCACAAATTCCCCATCAGCTGCAGCGTACCTGCCTCCCCTCCGCTGTGTTCTTCTTGGGGCATCGGGACGTTGAAAGGACGATGCCAGTTTGGAGCTCATTCTTGTCGGTATGTTTGGTGTCAGATAAGGCCGCAGGAAAGAAAGGAAAGGTGTTACGCTTGCAGCCGAGCTCCGGCGGTCTCACTCAGGTTGTGTGATGGATGACGGGGGGTTTGGAGATGCTCCCTGTAGCGTGGTTCAGTTTTGGTCACAGGAGCCGCTGAAACCCAGCGCGCCAAAACTTTCACATACCCGAAAACATTAGGGACCCTGTCCCTGTCCTAGCAGGGGCTGAACTCACTGGTAAAATAAATGTTGACTTATTTTTATTTTTCCTGAACTGTCTTGTCTACTTGCAGTAGCTGAAGCCGTTAATTACCCTTGCGAGTGTCTTCCTCCAAACCCAGGCTGTCGGTGGACAGCAAGGCTGTGGCGTGAGCTCCCCCTTGCCGCCCCCAAATGCTTGGAAGGAATCGCTTGCCAGGACTGAGCAGTCCAGGCATCTTTCCTCTGTGCCTGGCACCGACCTCTAGCTGGAGGGGGGGTACCCAGGCTGGTCCTGCTGGGTTGCAGTGGAAGTGCCCAGTGCTGGTGGGAGCGTAGACCAAGCCCCCCGCAGCTCGGCTCACCTTCCCCCCCAGTGCGTGGGGATGCTGCACGCCCTGCCCTTGCACTTGTAAGGCCTATTACGGCTATTTTTATCGCCGTTTCCTGAAAAGCCACTTCAGTGCTGCTCACTTTGCGCCGAAAAACACCATTCCCCCGGGAGAAACCTACCCCAGGGCACTTGTTTTCACAGCCAGCCCCTGCACGGAGCCAAGGGAGGCAGCGCCTCGCACGCATATTTGGCACAAGGAGAGGGTCCCCGCTGCGAGGTAGGGAAGGGAAAAATTAGTTCCACCCCAAAGAGCCGTGGAAAGCAGCTGCACGCTGTGGAAGCGAGCGTAAGCCCTGCCAGTGCCAGAGCTGGCTGCGTGCAGGGGCCAAGGGCTGACATCAGGGAACCCGGGGACGGTGCCTTCGCGTTGGCCAGGCTGCGAGCGACCGCTGATGTAATTTGCTCGTAGAGACCAAGGCTGTGCAGGGGTGGCTTCCAGGCAGGAGGAAGGGTTTTTTTTTTTGTCCCAGGCAGCATAACGGGAGCTTGCTGCAAGCTCGCCCGGGGGGCGCGCG